CTGTGTGTGTCTCTCTGTCTGTCTCTGTGTATCCCTGTGTTTGTGTCTCTGTGTCTGTATGTGTGTGCATCTGTCTATCTCCATGTATATGTGTGTGTCTGTGTCTCTGTTTGTGACTGTGTCTGCGTGTCCATGTGTGGGTCTGTGTCTCTGTGTAAGTGCCTGCATCCCTGTCTGTCTTTGTGTGTATTTATGTCTGTGTGTGACTGTCTGTGTGCGTGTATCTGTCTGTGTCTCTGTTTCTGTGTGTGTCTGTGTGTGACTGTGTGTGTGTTTGTTTGTCTGTCTCTGCTTCTGTGCGTCTGTGTATCTGTGTCTCTGTGTGTGTGTCTCAGTTTGTGTGTGTGTCTCAGTTTGATTGTCTGTGTATGTGTGTCTGTGTGTGACTGGTGTGTGTCTGTATCTCAGTGAGTGTGTGTGTGAGTGTGACTGTGTGTGTGTCTCTGTGTGTGTCTGAGTGTGACTGTCTGTGTGTGTGTGTGTCTCAGTGTGACTGTGTGTGTGTCTGACTGTGACTCTGTGTGTGTGTGTCTGAATGCAACTATCTGTGTGTTTGTGTTTGTGTCTGTCTGTGTCTCCGTTTCTGTGAGACCATGTGCGTGTATTTTCTCCAGCATCCAAATGCAACTTAAATACTTCAAGAGATTTAGTACAGCAGGTAAAAAGGAATGGCCTCGCTGTTTGAAGATAATTTGGCTTACTGTGCTCACTAATGCTCCTGGAGGGTGGGCTGGATCTCATCAGAGGACATCACTGGTGACGGTCTGGGGTCACTATCACAATCCCACCCTCCCCTAACCTACTAGCAGAAACATGGATGGCTGCCCCTTTAAGGGGTCAGTTTAAGCATTTCTGAGTCGGGGGAGGGTCCCGTTAAGAGCTATTTCTCTCTAGACGTTGCCAAGTGAGGTACAAGGGAGGCAGTGTGACTCATAGGGGGTCTCTGATGAGATGTATACCAGTAGGGTAGGAGAATGAACTTCCTGAGGAAGTGGTGGGTGTGGTTACAGTTACAACGTTTAAAAGACATTTGGATGGATATTTGAATAGGAAAGGTTTGGAGGGTTATGGGCCAGGAGCAGGCAGGTGGGACGAGTTTAGTTTGGGATTACGTTTGGCATGGACTGGTTGGACCGAAGGGTCTGTTTCTGTGCTGCACTATTCTACGTCTATGACTATGGCTCGGTTGCTGTGTTTCCAGGGTCTGTTGCCAGGTAGATTAAAGACAAAAACTGAAAGAACAGCGGATGCTGTAAATCAGGAACAAAAGCAGAAGTTGCTGGAAAAGCTCAGCAGGTCAGGCAGCATCTGTGAAGGAAAAAAATCAGAGTTTAACGTTTCGGGTCTGGTGACCCTTCCTCAGAACTGGGATTAAAGATGAGGCAGCGAGAGTGTTTAACAACCTCAACCAAACAGATGATGGGATCATTAACATAACGTTTATTGGTGTTTCCAGTGGGCTGTTTCCAACAATGACCCATTCTCCAGAAATAAAAAAAACACTTATTCGGGAAAAGAAAGTTGACCAGCTTCAGAACATGAATGACACCCGTCATTCCCTCTTCATGGACAGTCTGCAGGAAATCGCAGCTGAGTTACATGTCAAGGTCAAACATCAGACGACACCAGGTTTATAACCTGGTGTTGGAGAGATAGTAGGAAGTGCCGATGCTGGAGAATCTGAGATAACAAGGTGCAGAGCTGGATGAACACAGCATCACAGGAGCAGGAAGGCTGACGTTTCGGGTCGAGACCCTTCTGTTGTCTGATTTTTGACCTTGCCCACCCCAGTCCAACATCAGCACCTCCACATGATGAATTAAATGTCAAGCAGACTTGATTGAGAGGGGATGCATCCCATAATTTCACTGCAATTCTGCAGGGTGCCTGCAGAGGGCAGGCTGTCCCAGCTCCCTACTATAAAGCCAAAGTCATAGTCATAGAGCTGTACAGCGCGAAAACAGACCCTTCGGTCCAACCTGTCCATGCTGACCACATATCCCAAATTAATCTAGTCCTATTTTCCAGCATTTGGCCCATATCCCTCTAAAACCTTCCTATTCATGTCCCCATCCAGATGCTTTTTAAATGTTGTAATTGTACCAGCCTCCACCACTTCCTCTGGCAGCTCATTCCAGACACGCACCACCCTCTGTGTGAAAAAGTTGCCCCTCAGGTCCCTTTTAAATCTTTCCCCTGTCACCTTAAACCTATGCCCCTCTAGTTTGGACTCCCCTAATCTGGGAAAACACCTTGTTTATTTACCCTATCCATGCCTGTCACGATTTGATAAACCTCTATAAGTTCACCCCTCAGCCTCCGATGCTCCAGGAAAAATAGCCCCAGTCTACAGGCTCTCCCTGTAGTGCAAACCCTCCAAACCCAGCAACATCCTTGTAAATCTTTTCTGCACCCTTTCACATTTCACAACATCTTTCCTATAGCAGGGATACTAGAATTGCAGGCAGTATTTCAATAGTGGTCTAACCAATGCCCTGTACAGCTGCAACATGACCCTCCCAACTCCTATACTCAATAAAGGCGAGTGTACCAAACACCTTCTTCACTGCCCTGTCTACCTGCGACTCCACTTTCAAGGAACTATGAACCTGCACCCCAAGGTCTCTCTGTTCGTCAACACTCCCCAGGACCTTACCATTAAGTCATTATATTCCGACCTCATTTGAGAGAGGCACCCAGTGCGGGATTTAACCTGAGGGTCACCAGGGAGAGGATGAAGAAGGAGAGTTGGCACAGTAACCTCAACCAGTGAGAGATTTGAATCCACGCTGTTGGCATCACTGTATGTCGCAAAGCAGCCATCCCGCCAATTCAGCTAATTGACACGCTCCCCCCCACCACACCCCCCAACGTTCAACCTTGGCTAAACAGGCAAAGCCAAAACAGGCAGATTGCACCGACCTGGTGAGCTGGGGAAAATTCCTGTGATCCTGGGATTTGCTGTTGAATTCATTCCCGCAAAATCCCAGTCCCAGGGCCGCAAGCGTAAGAGTGCAGGCTGACACTCCCAGCACAGTAACAAGGGAATGCCGCACTGTCAGAAGCGCCACTTTAAGACGCGGCGTTAAACTGAATTTCCATCGTGGCACGGTCAGTAGGGGGAGGCGGTGAGTAAGGGCCGGAGGTTTGGCGGTTTACCCGTGCATTCTGGGTATGGGCAGCCTTGGCATCCGACTGGAACATTCTGGAATGAAGGACCAATCCTTTTTTGAGGGGTCCCTTTGAGTTAAGACCAAGGCAAGGGCAGGGTTAGTTGGCATGGATCATTACCTAGTTTGGTCGGCTAACGGAGGGCAAATTGACAGGAATTAAAACCTCATGATAAGGGGAGCTATTTACATAAGCAACCTCAAGAGATTTCTTCACTCATCAAAGAAAGGATTGAATTTCTGTAGCGCCTCTTTTTGGCTACTTGGATTAGTGCCGGCTCCCACATTCTAAGGAAAGAAACTGGGCAGCCAATTCACACACAGCAAGCTCCTGTGTGACGATCAAGAGATCACCTACTTATTTGGTGATCAACTTTGGCCCAGGACTCAAGCCCCCATCCCTCCCTCATGACAAGGTGTGTCACTCACTGAGATATGGGTGGGACCCCAGTTTAACATCCGTCCCTGAAAAACAGCAATACTGCAGCAATCCCTTACATGAGTGGGACATAAGGTTGGCCATTCAGCCCATCAAACCTGCTGCACCCTCTATCCATGGCTGAGCCAATGCCCTTTTACCCACCCCATCCCCATAGCCCTGCACTCCACTGGTCATCAGAGGTCCATCAATCTCTACCTTAGACATACTCAAAGACTGAGCTTTCACAGCCCTCTCTGAGGGAAAGGATTCCAAACATTCACAGCCCTCAGAGTCAAATCATTTCTCCTCATCTCGACCTGAGGGGCATCCCCTGACTTTTGAATCATAGCTCCTGGTTTTGGACTCCCCATACAGGGAGGCAACATTTTACCTGCATCTACTCACATCTACAGCTTATGGCTAGTCTGGTGGCTCAGTGGTTAGCACCACTGCCACACAGCACCAGGGATCTGATTCCACCCTTGGGCATCTGTCTGTGTGGAGTCTGCACATCGTCCCTGTCTCTGTGTGGGTTTTCTCCAGTTTCCTCCCACAGTCCAACAATGTGCAGGTTAGGGTGGATTGGCTGTGGGAAATTGCCCCATAGTGGCCAGGAAGGTGCAGGCTGGGTGGGTTAGCCATGGGAAAATGCAGGGATGGGATGGGTGAGATGCTCTTTGGAGACTTGGTGGGCTGAATGGCCTCTTCCTGCATTGTAGAAATTCTGTCACATCGGTCCTTTTGACTATTTTGCAAATTTCAACGAGACCAACTCTCATTCTTCGAAACTCTAGAGAACACAGGGCTCTAGAGAACATAGGACAGTGCCTCCATCCCTTGAACAAATCTGGTGAACCTTCAGTGTGCTAACTCTATGACAATAATGTCATTCCTGAGATAAAAAGACTGAAAACAGCACCCTGGGGTGCAATTTAATTCATCCGTGCTGCTATAATATGGAAGCAACTCTTCACAAGTCCTGAACTCAAACCCTGGGGCCTGGCTGAACTGTAAATGATTTTTGTTTTTAAAATAAGAATCTCTTAGGGTGGGTAACAACACAGCCTCTGGAGCAGGCGGCACTGGAAACCTAGCCTCCAGGCTCAGAGGTAGAGACGCTACCAACTTGATCAAACCTCTTCCCCCCTGGAGATGAGCCTGAGTCCAGCGTCTCAGACCACTTGGTCATTCCAGCTAAAAGGCGAGGGAGGGGGATAAACAGTATCATGGTGGTGCGATGGGGGAAGGATTAAAGATGTAGGGACACAGGTGGTCTGGGAGCTAAGCCCTCCTGTCACTGGCTGTCTTGAGACTCGAGCGGTTCACTTATTAACCGAAAGGGTACCAAGGTGCATCTGCTCGCTGACACAGCTTTAACTTTTGGAACAGCAGTAAGCAGAAAGAACTACATTGGAAGCCTTGTCGCCACAAACAGAGACAGAAAATAACGGGTGGGTGAATTGTGAGACCCCCGCGCCCCTCCCTCTCGGAATTAACGGACCGGTTGGCACCGGTGAAGGGGTGAGTGGGGAAAGGGGGTGGGGGGGGGAGGAGGTGGGCACAGGGCTGGGTGGGGGTGCTCATGTGGGAAGACGTTCCTGGTCTGTGAGTACGTCCGTGATTGTCCTAACCCCCTCGGTTTACAGGTTGGGAGGTACTGAAGGTCTGCTCTTCCTTGCGTGCCCATGCCCCTCCCCACTCGTTGAGAAGGGGGGTGGGGGCAGAGAAAGAGGGGGTTGGGGGGACACCTGAGTGGGAAGGGGACGTGGCACTTTCAAGGAAGGGGTAACAAGGCGAGAGAGTGAACAGGCGAGGGAGATGTTGGACCCCTGGAGAGATTTTGCTCCTCCCTGTCCCCTGATTTTATTTCCCGCACAGTGCGATCCCACACACTCTGACGGCCAAGGGTGAGATGACATGCCCTGGGGTGCATGCGCAATTTAAACAAAACAAAACCCAACCCTGGGCCAAACAACAAAAAAAAGGAAGGAACTTTTGTTGCTCTCAAAAGCATTCCACAACCTCAGGTTTGTCTCAAAGTGTTTGACAACCAGCACAATCCTTCGCCAAGTAGGCGCCGCTGGAATGTAGAAAATGTCAATATACACCCAGCAAGTTCCCACAAATAGCAAAAATGATAATGACCAGGTAATTCAGTGAAGGGATGTTGGTTGACAGATTATCACTTGCCCCCGTGTCACTGAAGAGTTTATCTCTGTAACTTGCTGCCTTTATCCATACTCCAGGCACCTCCAAGCTGCACGCTCTGAGTTTGCTGCCTGACATCGGCTCCCATGGGACATCAACATCCTTCACACTTGCAAAATTCTCACCAAAATTCTCCACAGTGCCCAACCACAACGCATCCCTCCCTATCTCTGTAACCTCCTCCAGCCCCATACACCTCCCTCCCTATCTCTGTCACCTCCTCCAGTCCCCTACACCCCCTCCCTATCTCTGTCACCCCCTCCAGCCCCCTACACCCCCTCCCTATCTCTGTAACACCCTTCAGTCTCTACACCCCTCCTGATCTTTGTAATCTCCACCCCCCACCCCCCACACCTCTCCCCATTCGGCCCCTTCGAGCTTGCTCCATGATTTAGTGAGATCTGGTTTGGTGGATTGGCCAGGCTAAATTGTCACTTGATGTCCAGGGATGTGCAGGCTAGGTGGATTAGCCATTGGAAATGCAGGGTTATAGGGATGGGGTAGGGGGTTGTTCTGTATGGGATGATCTTGAGAGGGTTGGTGTGGATTCAATGGGCTGAATGGCCTGCTTCTACACTGCAGGGATTCCACAAATGTAACCTCAACTCCATAACCCTTCTACCCCCAACAACCTTTTGCTCCCGTGTCTGCCCAGAATCCATCCACCTCCGCCTTCGAAATAGTCTAGCACTCTGCTTCCATCGTCGTTTGAGGTAAACCTCCTCTGAATTACCTCCAAAACATTTAAAACCCTTCTTTAAATAAAAAGACCAGTATTTCAGACACAGTCTCACCGTTTTTCAGTGTAACTGAAGCATAACCATTCAACTCCCCTCACAATAAACAATAACATTCAATCAGCTTTCCTAATTTCTTCCTTTCTCTGCACATTAACTTTCTGTGATCATGCACAAGGATACCCAGATCCCTTGGCATCTCAGAACCCTGAAATCTCTCTTCCGGTTAGATTACCATTTCTATTCTAGCTGACAAAATGGACAATTTCACATCTTCTCCATTGCAAGATCTTTGTCCACTCATACTATTCACAGACTTCCAACGTCCACTTCTCCACTTAGTTTCCTACCTATCTTTGTGTCGTCAGCAAATCTGGCAACCATACTGAAAGCCCCTTCATCCAATTTATCGTAGTTTCTCCTCGAAAGTGGCAATTGTGCCACCAAAGACCATAAGAAATAGGAACAGGAGGAGGCCGTTCGGCCCCTTGAGCCTGCACTGCCATTCAATAGGATCACGGCTGATCCGACACTCCCCACGTTCACTTTCCTGTCCCTTTCCCCACAACCCTCCATTCCCCGGCTGATCAAGAATCTCTCCATCTCGGCCTTAAATATACACAAGGACTCTGCCCCCACTGCTCTCTGTGGCAAGGAGTTCCAAAGACTCACAAATCCTCTGAGAGAAGAAGTTCCTCCTCATCTCAGTCTTAAATTGATGCCCCCCTTGATTCTGAGACTGTGCTCTCTGGTCCTAGACTCCCTTACGAGAGGAAAACATTCTCTTGAGGAGCCAGACGGCCTGCTCCTATTTCTTACGTTCTTGTAGACTCTCCCTGTCAAGTGCCTGTATGTTTCAGTAGGAGGCACCTCAGGACCAATCAACTGTAACACAACAGCGTGTCGTGATTATCTGTATTTTTATTGATAATAGCCACCTTGGAGGAGTTTGGATTTGGAAGGAATTATTCCCACAAAGCTGTCTTCATAGACCCAGCGAACAGCATCACTGGTACACAGTTGTTAGCAGTTCATTCAGTTATAGCCTGTTGCATAGACTCTGCCTACGCCCATATAAAGTTAAGGAATGGCTCAAGTGAGGGCTTTAAGATAATTAAAGGATCTGATCAGGTCTTTAGAGAGAATCTAATTTTTTTATTGTGGGTTTAGAGTCGAGCACAAGGGTAAAGAACCTCAAGATCATTGAGGGGTGATGTCAGGAGGGAGTTCATCAGGCAAAGGGGTGTGAGAATCTGGCATTTATTTTAAAAGATATTAAATCATTAATGCTATTAAAAAAATAAAAACTCCTGTCAAGGCTGGGGTTTTGTATGTGAGTGTGAGTGTGTGTCTATGTGTGTGTATGTGTGTGTGTGTGTGTGTGTGTGTGTGT